ATGCATTTAATAAAAATTCTAACATAAGCTTGTTCATAATAAACATCTTTTTATCATGTTTGCTCCACTTGGATTTCTCCAACGCGGGCACAATATAAACACAATCAATGATTTCTCATAAATCAATATTTTTAGATTGAACAAATATTTTAAATCTAAAGCACCATTGAGCATAGGGGAAAACATTGAATTTAGGAGCAACACTAGAATCATAGCCTAAACAAGATGCATCATTCATATCCATAATTTGTAAAAATATGCAAGCAAGATACAAATGTAATCAAAATAAGATTAGCACAAAGAGATAACTTGGATCTTTAACTCAAGGTGATTAGACCTTAAATCAAAGAGCACCAAGCTCTGATACCAATTGTTAGATCCTAGAGGGGGGTGATTAGGATCTTATGCTAATCTAATCCCAATTCAATGCCAATTAAAGATAATTAACAAGTTATCGTAGCAAGTATGAAATACAACAAGATATATGAGCTAGGATAAGCAATATGAACAATGAGATATATCCTATATGATAAAAATATATGCAAGGATATATAAACTAACACAAGGGTGATATAATCAAACTACAAATGTGATAGGGCAAAATATACAAGAGTAATAGGCAATTTGCGATATAAGATAAATGCATAAGCAAATGTGCCAATGAAAAACTCAAACACACTATATGATCACGGAGTTCGGACCTTCCGTCCTATGTCTCCGCTCCCCACTCCCGGGGAGAAATCCACTATCACAATCCGGTTTGGAAGTCGGAACTTCTACACACTCGGTTTTCTAGCTAACCTAAAACTCTACAACTCACACTCTTGTACTCATCTGATATCTTCTCATCAACATTCGTCAAGTCCGACAACAACTTTGTGTAGTTGGTCACATAATCTGCAAGTGAGGTATCCCTGGATAGCTGGAATCTGAATAATCTCTGCAGTAAGTGTAACTGATTCTCAACATTCTTCGTAAGATACTTGTGTTAGCCTTCTTGTTTTGATGATGATTTACAAACAATTTACATCTAATATTGTTTGTCTAGTGTTTATATCTTATATTTATTCTTGGCAAACAATATGTTGGAGGTTGGATGGATTGCGCCATAACGATCATATCAAATGGAGGTTGGCGGATATAGTGGTTGAAGCAATGTAATTCAAGTTCAAGATCCAAGTTCAAGCTTCATCCGCAAGATTACCGAGTCAAGCTATTGAAGATCAAGATCAAGCTTGGGTAATTTAGTTTAGGTTTTATATTATGTGTGTTAGTACCTTAAGCTCAATCATATATACACACACATTTTAGTTTTGGTTTCTTTGTATATATATATATATAGTTATATATATATATACATAAGTTAAGTTTTGGTTTCTATGTATATTTAGTTATATATATACATCCATGGTTTTGAGTTTTCAAGTTTTAATATGAAACAATTGAATACAATTGAAAATATATTTCTTGTTTCATACTTATATGCATATATATGATTTCATCAATATCAATTTTATTTAGTTCAATGAAATCATGTTTTAGTGCATTATATGTGTATTTTGATAAAATACTATATTCATTATTTATAGACTTTATAACAATAGTTTACATCTTTCTTCAAGTCTATAAAATTATTTTATAATGTTTCAAAACATGGTTAAGTTAAAATGTCAAAACTCATATGTTTACATTTTCATGTTTTGGACTATTTTGCAAAATGATGATATTTTTTATTTGGGAGGTCCTTTTATGTTTTTGTAGCTTGTGTATCATCACGTCTACGATCATTTCCCAAAGTTTCATAATTTTTAAAAATTGTTTGATATTTTTAAACATGGTTTTAAAATCAGAAAACAGTTTTCAAACCTATATTTTTATATGTCAGTGTGACGGTCGACCGCGCCCATGTTTTTCCCTCAGAAGCCAGTAGAAACTTTCGCGGTCTACTGTAGCGGTCGACTGTCAGTCTATAAGTTTCCACGGTCGACCGCCACGGTCGACCGTAGCCTTTTATGTTGGTTTCTCAGCTTCGAAAATCCCTCGCGATCGACCACGAAAATCTCACGGTCGACCGTCGATTGCCCAACGGCTATATTGGGTATAGAATCAAATTTTGATTCTGTGGGATTCTCTGCTGATTTGTTTGGAGTTTTTGCTGTTGTTTTCTCTTCCTATATAAACCCCTCAAACCCCTTCTACTAGCTATCATCTAAGAAGTTTTTAAACAAAAGTTTAACAAGGGTTTAACCCAGTTTTAGTTTGTTTTAAGTTTGGGGTTTGTTTTTATAAAGAGGAGCTTACATCAGTTGTTGAGGAGTTCATCTTTAATATTTCATCATTCTCTCTTTGTATTTATAGAGAAGTTTTCTAACTCTTTTCTCTAGCAATTTTATTATTGATTTTTATATTCTTATTATTGCTAGTTTGCTATTTGAGTTAGATTTTATTTCACTCATTGTTTACATACACCCACATTGAGCTTATTGTATTTTCATACATAGTATATTTGGGTTGGTGAGAGTTGTAACAATTGATTGTGAGCTTACATTGTGTTCTCATCCATATTAGAGAACAATCATTTGTTGTATTGTGCTTATTATGAGATTCACTTTGTAATACACTTGTACACCGAGAGAAGTGTGTGGCGAGAGTCGGGGATCATCCCAAGAGGAGTGGCGTCGGTTGACAAACCTAGGGAGAGGTTGTATCCGAGCACTTGAGGGAGACACGTCTAGTTCCAATACTTGAGAGGGTGTAGAGTGGGATTACAAGAGTGTTGATTATAGAGTTTTCGATAAACTAAAAAACCGTAGTGTGAGGTGTAAATGTTGTTCGGGTAAGCGTAGAAAACCCGATTGTGATAGTGAATTTTTCCCCGGGAGTGGGGAACGGAGACGTAGGACAAAAGGCCCGAACTCCGTGATCATATTGTGTGTTTGCATTGTTTATTTGCACACTATCACTCTTGTTTTGTTTATGTTTATTTCACTCTTGTGTTAATTTGAATATCCTTGCATATATATCATAGTATATCTCATTGCTAGGATATATCTCTTTGTTCATATTGCTTATCCTAGCTCATATATCTTGTTGTATTTCATACTTGCTAGGATAACTTATTATTAGTTTTAATTGGTATAAAATCGGATTAGATTAGCATAAGACCCTAATAACCCCCCTCTAGGGTCTAACAACTTGTTGTTAAGAATCTCCAACATCTTCATCGTAGGCGCACACCAGTCACATCGTATTTCAACTCTTGTTCTAAACAAGATCTAATTACTCCACATGCATTTCGATTCATCTTGTCCCATATCGCCTCATCATATTTAGGTGGCCTCTCATGAGTCATTATTGTCTCTTTCAAGTTTTGAGCATTCAAAGCATCCTGCTTATCACTCATCCACAGCCCAAAATTGATTTTACCGTCATACTTAACAACACTAATCTTCATATTCTGAAGTGCAACCTGAACTATACTCAACGCAACCTTGCTACTTTCACTACTTTCTCCTGTCATTGCTTACTAACTCCAAATTGTAGAGGAAAGATTCAAACTTGATAAGGTTGAGAAATCACCCAAATTAAACCCTTTATAGGATTCCAACACAATCTCCCAACCACACGAGGAAGGCGAGATCTTCAATGGCAACTCCGCAACGCAATCTCCACCGAAACCTAGATCTCCAAGATCCAAGCTTCCAACACCGAGTTTTCCACAACCCAAACCAAACCCTAGATCTGAAATCCGGCTCTGATACCACTTATTGTGCTCGACGAAAGCGTGTACAATCCACGACGAGTCGGTAAGCAACGCGAGAAGAATACCACAAGCACAATTCACAAAAGAACGACCAAAACCAATCACAAACATAGAGATTTACGTGGTTCGGCAAGTTGCCTATGTCCACGGGGAGAGGATGGGGAGATTTCACTATATGGAGGAGAAACAATGAATTACAACTCTCTCAAACACTCAAAATAACCCTAACCAATAGATCTCACTCCTCATAGTAATCTTCCTCTAAAAGTTCTCAAAACAATCTCTTTTCTCTATTAAATATCTATATTAAAACCCTAGAAAACGTGTTTCTATTTATAGCAAACTCAAATTCAAAACAGATTAGGAAACAGCTTCAGCCCAATTACCCGCTATCGGTCGACTAATGAAGGCTCATCAGTTGACTGGTAGGTCTTCATCGATTGACTGATGAACCATAATCAGTCGACTGTCCAATACGTTTGTTTTCTAGTCCCCTAGTGTGCACGCGATCAGTCGACTGATTGTTTTAATCTGTCGACTGACCAAACCGATTTCCTGTGTGCTGATTTTTCCTATATTCGGTCGACTGACTTGCAATTTCGATCAACCAACACACTGTTTTCAACAGTATAGTTAATATTAGAATAGAGTGGGAAGGTAATAACCTTTCAAAGGATAGAGAAGGTAATAAATTGTAAATTAACATATAATGAGTGAGCAGAGATCATTGTTGGGTCACCTACCAGTGAAATGATGACCTCTCACCAATTTAAAAACTTGTTTTCTTTTTTCCTACTTTAGAAAAATTATATATAAGGTCATGTATTTATCTGTTTGCTAAAAGAATGGTAGTATTCCGGTATACGTGCTGCGTGAATGATTCAGAGCCTTGGAGAGTATTATAGTCGAATGATGAAAGGAGAGTAATAGTCGAATAATGAAAGGTAAAAAAAAGTCATGCATCAATCTTGGTAAGCTCCACTTAGAATTAAACAATTCTAACAAAACGCGATAACAAAACAAGTGCCAAGCCCACGAATTCCAAGATTGTCAATCACCAGTAAGCACTTCTTTTTTTATTGGTCAAACAGTTCAAATACATACATGGGCTATCCTTCGTGAGAAAGATTTAGTATCCATGATATCAATTTCATCATAAATAAACAGCTCAAAGATCCTCAACAACTACAATAAAAACAGAGCACATAAATCTGACATTGAAACGGACACCGAAAGATAGACAACCACCACATCAAGAACTCATCTTATTGAGATTCAAAACAGAGTACCACCTAAATATTCTTTAGTACATGTATATGTGCTCTACTAGAACGTTACCCCATCAAAAATATTACCAATAGAAAACTATTACACATGCATAATTTATTTAAAGCTAACCATAATAATGATAATAATCCCACAACATCAAACTGTACAAAGATAATCTCGCTTCTTCATGACCTCCTTGGCTTCTCATTACATGATAGCACAACCATTTGGATTCTCCTCTGCACTCTGCACATAATAATGAGTAGTCATATGAGGGTTGTAGGATTTATATGCCTTGACAAGTTCTTGGTAAAATAGCTCCTGAGGATCAATTTTTTTCTCAGGTTCTTCCTTCTTTTTCTCTGCCTCTTCTTTCTTGGGCTCCTCTTTTTTGGGCTCCTCTTTTTTGGGCTCTTCCGTCTTTGTTTCTTCCTTCTTTGGTTCTTCTTTCTTCGGCTCTTCTTTCTTCGCTTCCTCTTTCTTCGGTTCTTCTTTCTTCTCTGGTTCTTTTGCAGGCCCAACTGAAAATATTTCGGTTCGCCAGAATTTCCTTAGTTTGCTCACTATGGTGACTGGATCAACTGCCCCAATCACTGTCAGTTTCTGCTCTTTCATGTCCATGGTGATTGAATCGATCCCTGAGAAGGATCAGGAAAATTTTTGTTCTTGGTCTATGCAACTAATGAAAGAGACTTTAAAATAATATCATATTCTAATCAATAACATACTCAAAACTTTTAGAAATCCTATTTCAAAATTATGTTGTGGTGGCAAAGAGGCTATGATGGTATTAGAATAATATAGATTCAAATCTCACCGGTAAAAAAATCTAGAATTAAAGAAGTACAATTGTCAGAACAATCCTTATTTAAATTCTATGTTAAAATAGAAGTTGGATTAAATAATATTTCTACAGGGTTCGAATCTGGAATGCTCTGAAATTGGCAATTTTTTAACGGTTTAATTATGAGCTGAAGAAGAGGAGGATACCTGGAATAGATGCAACTGCCTTGAGAGCCTTTTGTTTGGCCTTGTCATCATGTAAATCCAATTTCACCACAACTTTCTGCAATCAAGCCATGAAATTTGATCATCAGTATTTATAAACAAAATTCTGATACTGATCTATCAAATTTCCCATGTCAACAAGAAAATTAACAGAGTTTAAGGGAAAAGACTTTCAAATTTATATATGCAACCATTACATCAAGAAAGCTAATCGTATCCAGCATTAAAAAGACAAAAAATGGGCATCAAATTAATGAAATCATAATAAGCATAATCCAGCCTCATGGTCATAATCATACGCAAAAATTCTGAAAACTCTGCCCAGAAAGTATTTTGTAGGTAACTTCACACATTTTGTCAAAGGTTGACACATGAAACACCGACCGATGAAATTTATTTTCCTTTTTTCTAAGAGGAATCACCAAAAAAAAAACAAAATCCATGTTACACATATTCTCATCGGACAGAATCAATTCCCAATAATCTCATAAAGTAAGAGAAACCCATCAGGAATCATTGATCAGATTCTAGAGATCTAAAAAGGACTGCCCCAAATAGATAAGCATCTAGAAAAAGCCACTGTAAGAGTTAAATAAGAAGAATAAAATGATTCCGAGAGAATTGAATGTTAACCTTCATATTTCTCACTCTCTTTCTCTGAATATAAACGTTAGTAATGCAATAAAAGAAAAAGATGCAAAATTCAGGTGAATAAGGGAGTAAAGAGAGAGTATAAAAAAGAGATCAATTAGAGGAGAATGCGAGTACAATAAGAAAACAGGGGAGGAGAGAAAAAGTAGAGGTAGATATAGTGGTGATTTCGATGGAATTTTGGCTGATTCTAAAAAGGAAGAGCTTGGGGTTGCAAATTAAACTGTATTTGATTGAGGATTTAATTATAAAAAAAAATTGTAGGAAGGAGAAGAAAAGCTTTTTCTCTTTGGTGTTGTTTTATGGATGCTCTCGTGGGCTGCGTCATCAACCTCTCATTCCACGCCCACCAGTCAGCATCATGATGCTACGTAGACATTTCACTTTACCTCTTTTCGGCTTGTGCTTAACCATAGAAATAAGCAAAGTTTGCGTAGTTTCTCAGCAGCCCATAATATTCTATTGTTGCGGAAATGTTTGAAAGTCTTTTCTACTATGAAAATAATATTGTATATTAGGAGTGGAAAGCCCGTACATGTTTAAGGGTAAATTTACCTAACTCCCCAAAATTTTGTTCCATTTTGAAATAACACTCCAAACAAATATTTGAAATACACATAATTGTTGGACCCTAGAGGGGGGTGATTAGGGTCTTATGCTAATCTAATCCGATTTTATGACAATTAAAAACTTATTAACAAATTATTCTTGCAAGATAGATATACAATGTGATATAAGCAATATAACTAAGGTGATATATTCTAGCAATGAGATATGCTGTCAAAACAGGGATATAAAATTATAAAAACTAATTAAAGAGTTAGAAAATTCAGGTCTGATTGGGAGCAGTCGTGATATCACTGCCCTAGAAGATTAAGGACCCGCCTATCGCCCTGGAGCAATTTATCCTCTCTCCCCTAGCGGTAAAAACCCCCGGAATCGGCCGGCCTCTGCACTCGGGCGTGAGTCACAGAGCTTATGCTCAGACGAAAACAGTTGCCCAGCAAATAGAAATATAAATATGTAGCCGAAATTTCTTGGAGGTATGAGAGTAGAGAAGAGAAGAGACTTTAGAAGTTTTCCTCTTCGTTGGTGTGATTCTGAATGAGCTCCAAGCCTGGTTTTATAAGTGATGAAAGGTGTAACCCCCGCTGAATCCAAGGGACCGTTACGCACAAGTTTTGTTTCCGTTACCCGCATGCAGCCGTTACGGAACGTGTAAAACGTGCAAAAATAAAAGCTTAAGAAGCAAAAAGGTGTGCGTGTGAGGCTGCGGCGTGGCGTGCGCGCGTGAATAAATCACAGAATAAATATAGGTTGGGCAACCTTTCGTATCGTGAATTCGGGAGAGGTAGCTTTCGGCTTTGAACCTTTCCTTAGTGAGTTCATCGCCACCTGAGGGACATAATGGACTAGGCCTTGAATTAGGCCCCTTTAATCAGGTATTGATGAAAACACACACAATACGCTTCATCTATTGAGCAAAGCGGGTTGAGCGTTAAAGGCCATGCTCACAATAAACCGACTCATGAGAGTTTCTAGGGGTTAGCCCAGCCCCCCCTAACCGCGGCCATCACGGTTCCTCTCACGTAGGTAAGTCCTCAAAGGGTACTACAGCTGTTTATTTAATACCCCCCACAATACACGCGTTGGACTTATTAAGAGTAAAACTCAGCCTAGCCAGCTGTATCATAAGAGCATCGTCATCATAGAGAAGGGGTAGTAGCAAATGCTACATAATGATATATAAATATATCTAGGTCGATGCTCCACACGAGAGTCACTTGTCCAGCTTGTTTCTACCACATTGAACCGACATTGGGACTACGTCTCCAAATAAGGGTTGGGTTGCCGCTGTCAGTGACCTCATTTATGGGCTTAACCCCATCTCCCTCGATGAATCCAGAACCACACTCCTGGATAATCCTTTAGTCAAAGGGTCAGCAAGATTTTTCTCAGACTTTATAATGTCCAAGATCACAACTTTGCCTAATAGGCGTTGTACAGACTTATATCTTATTTGAATATGTCTGTTATGTTTTTTATTTACATGTACTTGCTTTAGAAGCTCTATGGTAGATCTAGAATCAGAGTGAATGGAAATAGGAGGAGAGGGTTTATGGACCAAAAATAGGAGGAGAGGGTTTATGGACCAAAGGAAGTTCAGAGAGAAGATCTTTTAACCATTCAGCTTCTGTACAAGTAGTATCAAGAGCAATCAGCTCAGATTCCATGGTGCTCCTGGCAATTATTGTTTGCTTATATGATTTCCATGATACAGCAGCACCACCAAAAAAAAATACATATCCAGATGTAAACTTTACACTGTTGGAATCCGTGACCCAGTTATCGTCACTATACCCTTCTATAGCATCAGGGTAACCAGTGTAAGTCAAGCAATAGTCAATTGTGCCTTTCAGATATTTGAATACTCTTTCTAAGGCAGTCCAATGATCTTTGCTAGGGTTGCTAGTATACCGACTCAGTCTCCCTACAGCATCAGCTATATCAGGTCTGGTTCGGTTGGATATGTAAAGAAGAGATCCAATCATCTGAGAATATTTCAGCTGTCGGTTGGATATGTAAAGAAGAGATCCAATCATCTGAGAATATTTCAGCTGGGAGACAGGTTCACCTTCGTTCTTCTTTAAAGATATAGAAGAATCATAAGGTGTGGAAACAGGTTTAGAGTTATGAAAGTTGAATTTAATTAGCATTTTATCAATGCTATGGGAAAGACTCAAAGATATTCCTCTTGTGTTTCTAGAGATTTTCATTCCAAGTATCATGTCTGCAAGACCTAAGTCTTTCATATCAAAGTTTTGGAAAGATAATCCTTAACCTTTGAAATTAATTCAAGAGTTGTTCCAAAGATAAGGATATCATCAACATAGAGACAGAGAATGACATAGTCATTGTTTATTACTTTAGAATAGACACATTTATCGTGTTCATTCACAGAGAATCCAAATTGTGCAATGACGTTGTCAAATTTCTGGTGCCATTGTTTAGGAGCTTGTTTAAGACCATACAAAGATTTAACAAGCTTACAGACTTTGTTTTCCTGATCCTTGGCAATGAGGCCTTCAGGTTGGTGCATATAGATCTCTTCATCTAAATCACTATTTAGGAAAGCAGTCTTGACATCCATCTGATGTATGATTAGCTTATGGATAGCAGCAAAGGCTAATAATACTCACCTAAGCAAGGATAAGTCTGCGCCTGACCCGCGCTGCCGGTCAGTTCTTAACCGTTTAAAAAGAACACACGTTCACATATTTAACATTGTGACAGGTTGTTATTAATAACACCAAAATCCATGCCTTACACGCATGGGGAATTTCATCCTGAATCCTAAGAAAGGATATGCCGACGCCTAACACGCGTCGCCGGTTTAGTCTTTCCCCGTAGAAAAAGACACCAGAGTTCGATTCTGGGGTATTTTATCCCGAAGCCTAAGGAGGGATAAGTCAACGTTTAATACCCGTTGCTGGGTAGCCTATTCCCATGACAACGGCGAAGTCTATGTATTCAAAGTCATAGCAACAAGTCTTAGAGGAGGTTCAATATCAAGAGGTTGAGAAGAGCTGGAAGATGGAAGATCAGAAGGAATGGATGATCTGGGATTTTCTGAGATTTTAGATTTGAAAGGAAAGATGTTTTCAAAGTAGACTGTATCTCTTGCTTCAATGATGGTATTGTTGGATATGTCACTGATTTCAATTTGATAACTAGAAATCTGTTAACATTGCTATCTAGTGCATATCCAATAAAAGCAACATCTATAGTCTTAGAACCAATTTTTCTCTTCTTAGGTTCGGGAATAGCTACCTTAGCCAAGCAACCCCAAACCCAGGTGAGAACTCGGTTCGAGTCACACACATCACTATGTATTAATTCGAGAGGTTCGGAGTTTCTAGTTATAGACTTGAATGGTTTTTTAGTGTGTTGGTGCTCCTGAACTGAGTAACATACAGTTCACCATGTCCATTAGGGTTCTATTCTTTCGTTCAGCTATCTCATTAGATTGTGGTGTATAGGGAGCAGTAACCTCATGAATAATACCGTGTTCTTGGTAATATTCAGTCATATGATTTGAGGTATACTCCCCCCACGATCAGATCTTAGAATCTTGATCTTTCTGTCAAGTTGGTTTTCAGATTCAGCTTTGAACACCTTAAACCTATCTAAGACTTCATCTTTAGTTTTGAGAAGATAGGTGTAACAATATCTGGAGTGATCGTCTATAAAAGTCACAAAATACCTCCTACCCTCTCAGGTGAGAACTCGGTTAGAGTCACACACATCACTATGAATTAATTCGATGGGTTCGGAGTTTCTAGTTATAGACTTGAAGGGTTTTTTAGTGTGTTTCCCTTGAACACAGATTTCACACTTAGATGAGGAATCATGAGAAGATTTAGGAATGAGGTTTAATTTACTCATTCTCTGCAAGGTTTGGAAATTGACATGTCCAAGTCGTCCATGCCAAACATCACAAGACTCAACAATTTGAATAACAGAAGACTCAGAAATTTCATTAGAACTGGAATTGATTACATTGAGTTTGAAAAGGCCATTACAGATAAAACCTTTTTCTATGAAAACATTACTCTTTGTAATCACAAATTTATTGGATTCTTTTACAATCCTATAACCAGCTCTAAGAAGAAGAGATTCACAAATCAGATTGCGATGGAGAGAAGGAACATGATAAACGCCTTGCAGATGAAGAGATTTTCCAGAAGTCATGGAGAGCTCTATACTTCCACTTCCTATTATTGATTTAGTGGAGTCATCTGCTAAGCTTATGCTTCCTCCACGTGATTCCTAATAATTTAAAAATCAAGAGCGGTCATTACAGACGTGGATATTTGCTCCGGAATCCAAATACCAATCAGTGGAAGAAGTTAGAGAATTTACAAGATGAGATGAAGAGCCTAACCTGAAGGAGGTTGGATTCATTTCAATCAAATTAACTTTGTTGGTTCCATTTTCTTTAGGGGCAGGTTTGGCCGGTTCCTTCTTCTGAAAGAAACAGTTGTGAGCCATGTGGTTGGTTCTACCACAGACAAAGCAGAACTTCTCATCAGACTTATTGCTGGAAGAATTGGGATTTAGTTTGAAGGAAGATTTGTTGAAAGATTTGTTGAAAGATTGTTGATTTTTCTTGAATTTCTTCCCTTTGGGTTTGAAATTCTTAGATTTAGGCTTATCCTCTACCAAGTTTACTTTAGCTTTTGTTTCATTCTTGGTATTGGAATTTTGCCTATGCTGGTCTTCAATACGAATAGCCTTGAGGGCTTCAGTTAAGGTTAGA